AAATAATAAACAAGAAAAAAAAAACAAAAAAAAAAAAAAAAAAAACAAACCTCCTTCTTGTTGTGCTCAGCGACTGCGAATCGAGCGAGATTTTCGATCTTCAGACTGTTGGCCCTTCTTTCAACCTCCTTCTTACCTTCGGGCATCGCCATTTTTTTTCTCTCTAAACGTAGAATCCGATGTGATGATCTCTGATAATTATTGCTTCGCCGATCTAACGTTATCTGGTTTTATAGAAGGCCCAGGAAATCACAAAGAAAAAAGAAAAAGGAAAAAAAAAGGAAAGAAAAGGGAAATGAGGAAGGAGGAGGGTGAAGAGTAGACAGAAAAATGAGAAAGGGAAAGAATGATGCCGCTGGTATTGGTGTTGATGTTGGTGTTGGAGAATAGGGAAAGAAACAAAAATGGCAGAGAGAGATAGAGATTGAAGATAAGAGGAGGGTTAATATTAAAATTACCGAATCATCATTTTTTTTTTCCACGTAGTTTTTTTTGAAATAAAAGGATTAATTCGTGGCAAGTTAACGTGCCAGCTGGGCACTTCCGTCAACAGAAGGACCATTTGAGTTCTTATAAAACAAAGTTTAAGGACGATTTGAGTGCTTTCTGAAGTTAAAGGATAAACTAAGTTCTGAAATAAAAGTTTAGGGACCAAATTGGGTATTAAACCTTTTCAGAATTCAAAAACAAACGAAGGGAGACTGTACGGTAGAAGAATTCAGTATTTTATATTCCGGCGTTTTTTTCAGCTGTCGCTTTCCATATCATAACCCTTCTTTTTGGCCTATATCGGTTTATCTACTTTGCCCCCGATTTTTTTTAAATAAAAAAAATAGTTCCTAAACTTTAAGATTTGAGTTGATTTGGCTCATAAACTTTCATTGACATCAAAATGGTCCCTAAATATATTTTTCTAGGGTCATGATTTAGCAACAACTTTTTCTTATAATTTTTATATGTTATTAAATAAAAAATATATAAAATACCATGGGTTCCAATAAAGTGAAAAAAATTAAAAATTAAATGAAGTGGAGTTATAGGAAAAATTGTCTCTAAATAGTCCTTTATTTTTCTAACACATTTTTAGTCATTCCAACTTAAGAATACCAACTGGCCCCTCATCCACATCCCCACCATGGCAAGGATCTGGTACAAGAGTTTTTGGAGGGACAAATTTCACTATTTCGTCCCCCTTACCTACAAGAATGCCATTCCCTGTTGAATACTATTAAAAATTTAAAAAAAAATTGCTAACTAAAGGAAAAAATAATTAAGCATTTAGAATTTTCAAATTTTATTTAATTTAATTATTTTTTATATTTAAATTTAAAATGTTCAATAGGTTGGGTTTAAATTTAAAAAAGTGGGTTTTAAAGTGGGCCTTGATTAAAAATGAGTAATGTTTATGGGTTGAGATCTTCTATTAATAGTATCTTCTATTTATTATTATTATTATTTTTTTGGGAGATAAGGATCTTGTGGACTCCATGGGGCAAGGAAAATTTCTTGCAAAATTTCGAGCAGATTTGGTGAAATTTATAGGTGCTTCACCTTTTTTACACTATTTATGTTTTATAAATTTAAAATTTTCTCTAAAAAATTTATATTTTTTTTACTTTTTTTTAACTTTAAAAAAACCTTAAATAATAAATTTTGAAAAGTTTCAAACTTTTACTTTTTACAAACTTTCTTTTTATTGACTTTTTATTCACTTTTAAAATCAATTTTTAAATTTTTCCTTCAATAAAAATTTAAACTTATGACTCATAAACAATACTAAAAAAGTAAAAGCTCCAAGAAGCTCCACCAAACAAGCTCTTCATGAGAAAAAATGCTTCCCATCCTCCTTATGATAGGAATCCCTACAAAACCCCATGAGGAATGAAGGAAATTGTCATTCTTAATTACCTTTTGTTAATAAAAGATTGATGTTACATAAATTTTCTATTAAGTTTGTTTTAGAATTCATCTAGTTTAGCTATTAAAATACAACTATTAGTTGTTGGTTTTAATTAGATGATTAAGGATATCTAATTTATAATCAATAAGAATTAATAAACCATAAAAAATGTCATTCAAAAAATAAAATAAAGTAAACCATTGAAAATAGGTTATCAATTATCAGTTACAATTGAACAATTAATACAAATATGACCTAATAATCAAAAGAAAATGTTAACATGGATAAATTTAGGCCTCCATGTTGAAATGTAAATATTCTACATGAAAAGTTGGTCCATTCTCTTATTTAGATGGAAACTAACTCAAATTTTTTGCTTAACTTTTTCCTATTAACTTCAATTTCATTGAAAGTTTGTTATGGTGCTCAATTTGTACCTAATCAATTTAAGCGTTTTCAAATATCTTCATTTTCCCCCCAACAAATTAATTTCCCACAACTTTTCAAGTTTAAAATGACAAATTTCAAAATTTTGAGTGTTAATGTGATGTGCCAAAATTAACATGGAAATTAATCAAAAGAAAATTGAGATTAATTTTAAGTTGTTTGGATTAACATTTTGAAACAGTGGATAATTGATAGTTAATATCTGACAATTAATAATTATTAATATTTATAATTCAAAATATTTAATCCATTTTATTGCAATCAACAACTGATAGCTATTTCCAAAAGGTTGAAACAAACATCCCTTTTGAATTAACCGATGATTTGTACTTAGTTGAAAGAATTTTAAAATGAAGGGGACTTGATTGCAACAGGGATTAAATTGAGTACCAAATTATTAGGCAGGCAAAACTTATGAACTAAAGCACAAACTAGGGCCTAAAAACGTCATTTTGACGAAAAAAAAAAAAAAGAATTAGAAGGGAAAAAATATAAAGGTTAGAATTGTGAATAAATAAGGGTTTTTGTTGAGATACCTGGGGAGAGGCTAAAGTAGGTAGTTACTCTTTCATTCTAATAAATTTAAAGTTTTTAACTTTTCTTCTTATGTTATAAAGCTTTTAAGGTCTTGAATTTGGAGAATTTAAAACTTTTAACCTTTAAATTTAACAGAATTTGTTAACTCATATTTACAAAATTAGTCTTAAAAAATTAAAGATATAATAATTTAGTTTTAAAAATTAAAAAATTAAAAAATTAAAAATAAATAATAAATAACTTTATCATATATATATAATATTAAATATTTATAATCAAATCGAGTGATTAATTCAATTTTTTTTTAAAAAAATCTTAATGAGATTAAAGGAATTTTTTGATTATATTTTTCTAGTCTTAGTAAAAAGTTTTTAAATTTAATTATAAATATCTAATATTATTTTAATATATATAAATCATTTATTATTTTTTTTAGTTTACTAATTTTTTTAATTTTTAAACTTTTAAATTTAAGTTTAAGGGTTAATAAAATAAAGGCTAAATGTATACGAAGCCGGGATTTTTTTTTTTTTTTTGAAGAGAAATCAATTAAAAAAGGTT